GCTCACGATCGTTCTTTAGACTTTTGCTTAACCTAGATCTGATTTCTTTACGCTCTTCATCGTGTTCAGAACCTGATGGGATGAGTTTGCGAGAATCTATCAGTGCAATAGACCTTGACGAAATCCATTGGTTCTTTGTAACCCTGTGGTTTAAATCACTAATAGATGTCACTGCTGTTTCCACAACTGCTTGTATAACTCTCTAAGCAACATCTGGGTCAGCCTCGTTTTCAGAACTACCTAAGTGTGACCTCAGTTGTTCTTGGAACCTACTTTTGGTTTTCTCATTACTCAATTCGGTTCTAATGGGTCTTTTTTGTGTGGCTTTTTTGCGTCCAGTGAGGCGCAAGCAGATGGGTGCTCGTATTAGGGCATGGTCGGAGTCCAGGCAGGTACTCCAGAATGAGCGACAATCTTCTATTGACCCTCTCCAACGATGACTGATGGCAATATGGTCTATTTGAGTCCATCGTTGGTTTGGTGCAGGGGGTCGCCATGTTAGACGATGTCTCTCCTTATGCTTAAAATTTGTGTTTGCTAAAAATAAACGATTGTCTGAGCAAAGTTGCAGCAGACGATCACCATTATCTGTTCTCTGTACCGGAATACTAAAATACCCACCTAAATGTCTTTCTGTTTCGTTTAAGCTACCTACCTGGGCATTAAAGTCGCCTGCTACGAGTACTATGTCTGAACGTTTAGCTTTTTGAAGAATTTCAGAGAGTTTTCTGTAAAATTCATTTTTCACTTCATCCGAACTGCAGTCAGTAGGAGCGTAGGCGGAAACGACGAAAAGGCAACGACGTGTGTCCCTATCCTTTCGAGTTCTTACGGAGCCGTTTAGCCGAACAGCGCATAGACGACTGTTAACGGGGATCCACTCTAATAGCGCTTGTTCCGCCCTCATGCTTAGTGCTATGCCTACACCTGCCAGTCCATGAGAACTAGCCATCGGGTCGCCAGATACACGGAGGGTGTGTCTCGTCGGCACTCCGTTTTGCCGAGGTGAGGTCAAGTGAATGACTACGCTCGGATCCTGTATGCGTGTTTCGGAGAAACAGCATACATCAATCGTACGAGATTCTAAGGTTTTAGCCAAGGAAGCCTGCTGACCGATTTGGCATAGTGTGCGTACGTTGAAGGCTCCAATGTGTAGTTTGGAGCGAGGTTTCAGTAGACTGGTGACACTTGAGGAGGGAACCAAAAGAGAAAGTTTAGTGTAGTAAGTCGATGTAGGAGGAATAATAGGAATTGAAGAGGTAAGTTGATTATGAATGCAATGGTCTTGAGTGCTGTTACAGGTATGAGGGCGGTTATCACTTCCCGGTTGCCCACACCGTGGAAGGGTTCTGCTTGAGGTGCCTGAAAAGTAAATTGGATTAGAGGTGGTCTTAGTGACCTGAGAGCGTGACCGCAGTGCCCAAGGGACAGCTGCTTGAGGTCAGTCACACACGCCTTTTCTATGAGTAATTTTTGTGTTAGTTCCGTACTTGTTGAGACCTTACCGCCGGAGACGGATATCCGTGAGATAAGGCGAGGTGTGTGTTTTTAGGGTCGACCTTTTCTAACCCCACCCCTCCTTTTGGGAAGGCAGCATCGCTGTTATGCTGGTTGTCTGAAGGAAACACTTTACTGCTATCACACCTCTGTACATTCAGCAGTACGACTTCACCTTCGGACCTTGGGTTTGTTGCTTTTAGTCCCACCGTTCTTCAACCGACCTGTCTGGCATGGTAGGACCTTGAGGAACGGTTGTTCCAGCCAGTATAGCTCAGTTGCTTCATCACGATAGGCAAGCCCGACCACCGCGTCAAGGTAGCAACAACGGTCAGGGAACCAGAATCTACAGAGATACTGCCTTATTACAATGTAAGGAAAGGGTTAAAAATGTCGCCACTGGCTTCTATTCTGGGCCATATCTGATAACGTTTCTAGCCACTGTGTTACACCATCTCTCGGACCCCAGCCAGGGAGTCGTGAAGGACCAACAGAAGCTAGCTCTTTGCAACTTTCTTTCATACCACGACACCATGTCATACACCGACCAACTCTCCGCTTTTTCCAACCAGTCCCAGAGTCGGCAAATAATGCACGACGTGGAGTTCTCTGGGACGACATTCGTAGAACATGTCCGAGCCACCGAAGTCGGTGTTTCAAGATGGTGACACCAATTGGATTGTCGTCTCTGTGCCCGAACACACGATGCCGAACCTCTGCATTACTGACATGGTGTTGCCACTGAATGTCAGCAATTCTTCGGAGACAACGATGATCGAACACAGAGAGTCGTCTAACATTTAGAAACCTGGAGCCAACACAGTACAAACTTCTCACAGAGGAACTTTATGTGACCGATCTCAAACAGCTGTCTCTTGGGCTCTGCAGTCACGCTCCCAGGTTGCTGTGACTACTAATAACCCAGTTTCCTTCACAAACCCCTCAAAAAAAGTATCCTTCCGTGTAGGCAACCGGCTAGTGACAACCTTCCTCATACTTTTAAAAGAACTAGAGATTGGTTAACAGCAGATGTATAGACAATAATCTATTCTTTTGGGCTATGTTCAGTACTAAGATCCCTTTAAGGTGCTGTAATTCTTCACCAAGTAAGTAGTTTTCCATGCTTACAATAAAATCACTCAGATTTTATATCCTTACGGTGCAATGAAATATAAGGTACTGAAAATGTAATAAAAAAGTGGTCTGTTTGAGCTGATACATAAATTGACTCGCTTTTTGAAGAAGCACTTACAGATTAATTGTAGTTGGGAAGCCATATGGAACTAGGGAATACTGGGCAGTTGTTTTGCCCTGGTATGGGACTCCTTAGCAGTACACATCTACGAACCTGCCTAGGATTCGACCCAGGACCTTTAGGTCTTACAGTGGATGCTTAACTGTTAGGATCACTGGGTCGACGTTCAATGATACAATTTCAACTTGAATCGATTTGCGATATGGCGTGGTGATTATACAATGCTATTGATGACCTATCAGTTAACGCAATGTAAATGGTTCATATTAGTTCAACAAAAGGGAAGACTAATACAACAGGTCATAATTTTAAACCGCAAAATTAATTACGAACACCTTTATAAACATATATACGTATCTAAAGGATAGCCTTTAAATACTATTAATAATAGCTGGTTCCTATAAGCAAAGATGGATAGTGGCTAGTAGTGAATTCCACTTCTAGCCACCATTACTCTTTGCTTATAATGCTTGTGACTTAAGACAATTTCGAAGCAATCCGCACAGGATGCATATATGCCAATAAGAGACTGATCAGTTGCAATCCAGAACATCAATGGGAAGATTCAAACAAACAAAATGAGTAGCTAATTCCTAGCAATAGACTTGTGTATTTTTGGATGAATTAGTTCTCATATAGTTTTATAAGTGGTTTTGCCGCTAAATGTCTCAGTATTCATGACTGTGGACTCTAATAATACCGGTAGTTTTCTATGAGATCGTGCTCTATGAGTAGGATGTTTTAGTTGCGGAGCTTTCATTCTCGTTTTGGACAACACTGATATTAATGCATTCAAGCAACTTTGGACATAAATTCAACTGAACAAACTAAAATTCTGGACCGGGAAACTCTAGGAATCCCATAAAATTCCTAGAAGCATTACCTTCATGTCAATCAGCAAGCAATAGGCACATCAACGTAGATCCAATAAATAAACCCACATAGAGGTTGACCAATAGCAAAGCCAGAGGTCGACGGATAAAGACAACTTAAATACCAGTATAAATGAAGATAACAAAATACAAAAGGACCAGGACTTGTGTGCATTATGGTCATGGTTTCCTTGTAGCTGTATAGTTGCTTGGTTCACAAGACCGTTATACCAAGTTGCACATACTATTCAATTATTTATGACCTGACATCTGACTAGTGCATTCGAATATAAAACAAGCAATGCATTGTGAATTTATTGATTAAAATGTCATTTGATTTGAAAAAACAGGCATTTACTAAATTTCCCTAGTGCTATCATTTTTAAGGTTTGAAAGCGGCTTCCTATATGATACACTGAAAATGTCGGTTGTTTTATTTGTCAATAAATGTGTTGTCAATCATGTTTATTTTTGACAAAGGTTTCAATGATGAGGATGTTTACATGAAAGCCTACAAGTGTCTTCTTGTTTCGATGTTCACTAAATATATTCAGTCTCACGTGACGTCTTCAAGGTCGTACATAAATATCTTATTTGACTTGTAATGTCCCCCACTAATTTTAAGGAAACAAAGTATGATACCATAGCATAAAGGTCTCTTGTAATCTGTCTCCAAAACGCAACCGAAATAATCGAGAAATTCCTCTTAGCTAACTGTCATGCTTACACTGCTGATCTGGAGTTCAACTAGGTTGTAAATTAGTTAATCTGTTGTGGTTTCGGCATATCCACTTGATAAGTTGATGTTCCCATGACAAACAAGACAATATAGGACCTCCTGATTATGGATTTGTCAAAGTTGTCACTTTCTATGTGTAAATTATTCTCCACCTCATTGTTAATTAAACCTCAATCCTCATGATATAGACGTATATGAGCTATACCTATGTAGCAACTGCCGTTATGATAAAAATAGAGGCGATATTTTTATTGATAGCGCTAAAAACGTGTATTCATCAAGCGAAGTGAAGCAAGTGGGTTCCTAATACTGAGATCTGACTTTTGGTATGCTTGTTATTATACGGTTCCCATCTCATTCCTCAAAACCGTCATCTTGTTTCATATAGGACATTCCATGATGGTCGATTGTAGAAAGTTATTTCATGCCTCAACAAACAGTCCAGACAATTCTAAAAGTAAACGTGTGACGATGATTCGCAACTATAGGTAGATGTTGAGAGTTATTAATCTAGACTCCCAAATATTTTATGTAGTTGATGTAATTATTTATTTCATAGCTCTCCGAATTCAACACTGTTTTCCTACAGTCATGATACCGGCGTAATGTGCATTATTTTATTTTCAAATAATTTAAGGTTTCTTATGAAATTGTCCCATGAGACGGTAACCATTGAACTAAAAAACGGTACGCAGGTTCACGGAAGTATTGCTGGTGTTGATGTGTCAATGAATACACATATGAGGTCCGTTACTTTGACGCTTAAAAATCGGGATGCGATTAACTTGGATACACTAACTGTTCGCGGAAACAATATCCGATATTTCATTCTCCCAGAAAGTCTTCCACTTGATACACTTTTAATTGATGAAGGCCCTCCGAAAAGAAAACCTGGACGGGAAGGTAATTCAGTAACTGTTTTAATTATATTTTAGACCATTAATTTCTTGATTACTTGCAAACAGTTGGTTTTCAGTGGTTTTATGGAGAGTGACAACTCGAATTATTGTAGAATAGATCGTAGAAAATAACTTTCAGATGACTTCTAAGGGATGGAGAAAATTCGTAGTTCAGAATAATTTTAGCAATACTTTTTTCTTTGACGTGAATGATTTTCATTGCCATTCTCTTGTGAAAAACTGTCAATAATGACAGCAACAACCAGTCACATTCTATATCGATAAAACAAGCCGTTATCCACTTGTGAAGAAATTGTAATAGCTCACATTTGTGTGTTAAGTGCTGATAATGTTGTCTGTAAAAACAGTGGAAGCTTGACAACTAAAACATTTTCAGAGGACATAACGCTCACGTTTTTCTGTCATCCGTGATCTGAGAGGAGCATTTGTGTTTTATGACCTGGACCGCATCTTGTCGATGAATAATACCTGCTAAACTTCGAATCAATTCATAAGGTAGTTTAAAAATCACGGCACTCACTACATTTTGAAAGCTAGGTAGTATTTGAAAACATCAACGTACGTATCTCAAGTGTCTAAATGAACCTAAACTCCTACGTATATACATTTTATGTACAACTTCTTCCCACTTATAGTTCATACTATATGTATCTTTTTAGAACGTCCTACTATTCGTGGACGGGGTCGCGGTCTTGTTCGTGGTCGTGGACGCGGTGGACCTCGAGGACGTGGTCGTGGTCCTCCGATGCGTTACTAAAATCTTTCATGTTATGTATATGTCTAATCACCGAGGACTATCCCCACAATTTTATTTCAACAATAAAAGTTTTGTATAAATGATTTATTTCTTAAATGAATGCTAATTAAGCTCGGGTTTTTAGTAGGAGGGGTATGTTTTATCCGTTCGAATTGCGTTACTATACATTCATAAAATCTGTTTTTGAACAACATTATATACAGTGGGTACTGTGTAGAAATTAGCGTATTTACCAAGCATCCTCTTTGTTCTGTAGTATGGCGCTTTAATCAATAACGACTTATGAAGTGCGTATATCTGAAAGCAGTAATGATAAAATCATTATTAATAGACATTTTAAGTATTTGATGAACTCAGTGAAATTTAAATGGCTATTATGATAAACAAGACTTTTAGGCTATGAAGTCTTTCAAAATTGTACATCCAATTCCTTAAGCTAAAACACCAGCTATCTTAGAACAAAATGATCGATCTATCTAGTCTGGATGAAAATTAGAGGTATCCTGTGTTTTGAAACGGAGTGATGTAACGAATTATTGTGTTGTGAATCTTTAGCCAATACTTTGAACACGACGTTCAGGAGTTGGTCCGGTCTAAGCAACAGGTGTCTACTTTGCACCTATATAACTGAAATCCGAGCTTGTCAGTATCAGCTTGTACTGTACTGGTACGTTACACCTATTAAATCCATATAGCAAGTTTAAGACCAAATAGTCTGTTGCAACTACGCTTTAAGCATCTTGAGACAGAGGATTATCTGTTTGCTTCCGGAAGTGCTAATATTTCGTTTTGAAATGACAACTTATTACAAAATCCTGTGAATTTATACTAACCTGTCGACCACTGAGCATCATTCTCTTGGCATTTTGGGAGTTGAACCCTTGGTTACAGTGTTCATGAACTGAGTTAGTAAGCTTTTGCTTTTATTGTGTCCTTGGACGGCAGAGTGTGCCATTAGCGAACCACGGCGACTAGGCATGAAGTTTACGCTAATCACTTCCGCGGCTATTTTTGAGGGACGACGTCGCCCAGAGGTGAATGTATTCTTTCGATTGCGTTTGCGCTTTTTATGCAATTCACCTTCATTAACGCCAACTGGATTCTGCTTGTATGGATCGTCTAGATCATTGTAATCTTTCATAGATTCGTTTACATTTGAGTTATGGGTCGCTGTAAATAAGTTGTCAGATATCACATTCGAGGCTTCCTTCAAGGCGAATTCTGACTCACTGGAGTCGATGTCCTCAAAATCATCAACTTCTGGTTGTCCTGTAATGTAAAAGTCTGGGTCCTGTTAAAAAGTTAAACAATTACAAAGATTATATTAGCTGGTGATTAGTCCTAGTAACCCTATAACTTCTGAATTGTTTTGTAAGCTACTCGCAATACTAATACACTATTAAGGAAAAAAGATAGGTGTCTCAATGAATAAAGAACTATTCATCACAAACTCAGTGCCTATTTTAGCAATCTTCCATAAGACATGTTCGGTGTTTTGAACCTTGCGTTCGCGAAGTGTTTGTACTTTGTTCATCCTCGAATTTAGGTCTTTCCGCTTCCTGAAATTTAGGGTCGAATTAAGTGCGATGTAAGGTTACTCATAAACTCGATATACTCAGCCAGACTACCATTGAAAGGTCCATTTATCAATCTTATTCACAGACGTTGGCAAACTTGAAGATAAAGGAAACGCTTTAATTAGTTCATTGACGCACATAGACACAAGTTAGCACGAACTACATTTTATTTGTATAGCATTTCATTCAGTACTATGGTATTAATTTGCTTTTAAATAGATTAGCCTCTACAGGTTCGCATTCAAAGATAGGCCATTCTATGGACGATTCACACCAGGTTATATCTTGTACCTTCTGTATTGCTTATGGTTATGAATGGATTTGGCTAGTTATATGCTCCCTAGTAATGATAGTACCTATGATATCCATAAGATATCGGTTACAGGGATTACGGTCATTCTAGTTTTCAACCTATATATCCAAAGTATAAAGCCGTATTATTTCTCAAAAATCCTAGTGAAAATATTCATTTAAATCGTCTGCAAATAAACTTCCATTTGATTTATACCATCTAACTTACTTCATCAAAGTCTCCAGTAGTCAGTGAACGTTTGACTGTGGAATTTTGTTCCATTTTAAATGGATTTACATTGAACTGACCGCTAAGACAAGGATAGCCTGATGTTGTCTGTGCGGATTTTTGTGGCGATGAGTTTCCTGATCTTGATATTGAAGCACAATTTAATTTGGACTCACAAGATATATCTTGAAATTCATTGTTCAAGTCACTTAGGGAAGAATCGATCCCTAGTTCACCTTGACTACATCGTTGTTTCAATTGTCTAAGTAGAATACAGAATTCACTGCGTAATTTTGCCAATCTCAAGCTGTTTGTTGTTGGAGACCCGACCATATTTTTAACGTTGGAAGATTCCTCTAGTTGTCTTTGAACCCATCGAAGTTGCTCCTGAAGCTATAAATATCAATATTTAACTCATCAGTGAAATGTGATGCGTTATGAAATTAATATGACATTTACTGACGAAATTCAGACGAGCTAGTTACTGAATACCAGTTTATGTTGCACACGTTTAAAATTACTTAGTTAATTATGTGAGCGATGTTAACAATCAACTATTCAGAGCTGTAAATGAAATAACAGTAAATCCGTCTTTTTAGTACGAATCCAACTGCTCTTGAGTCCCTTGTGAGGTTAATCCATTTTTTGTCATGTTTATCTATTACATCCTACATCGTTTAATTTTTAATTCAATACTCCGTGGCCAGGTTATTATTTGTCAACAAATTTCAATGGTATACAAAATTTATTGAAATTGTTTGGTGACATTTTAGAGTTCTGTATTTTTATATATTTTAAACAATCAAATAATAAAAGGATATATTCCTGAGGTGCTCAGACAAAATCCTGTTATTTCTTCCTTAATGTTCTATGAAGAATCTTAAGCATCGAATAAAAGACACATGATATGGAATCAATGTTTATGCTTCATTGTTTTATTAATATAGGTATCTAAGCATAATCTACTCACCAATTTCAACAATGAACAAATGAAAACTTTTAGAACAACATAACCTAATTTCCTGTTGATTTTATTAAAACAAACAAGTAATAAACACATTCACAGGACAAGAATGATTGATGAATGTCTTACATAGTGAATACAATACTGATTAGGCTGATAATATAAAAAGATTGTTTAAAATATATTAGTGAATAATTACCAGAAAAGTAATGTGAATTTTCTGGATAGAAGTTATTTTCTCTACCATTTAATTACTTACGCCTGTTACCCTTCATGGAGGATAATAGACAGTTCACCATCATTATTCATCCAACTCTGTCCTGGACAGTCCTTTCCAGTTGCTATTTATCCTTTTCATGTCTGAGTCCAGTTCTCGGCGCAGTGTGTTCTTTGGTCCTCCTCTTTTCCGTTTCCCTTCAAGATTCTAAATTAGCACTTGCCTCGTAATGCTGTTTGATTATTCCCATAATGTATGTTCTTTTCACCTCCATCATCTTCCCTTAATTTCCTCTTCAGCTGGAAGCTGGCATTTTCTCTCCCACAGTAGGCTGTTGCTGACGATATATAGCCAACTGACATTGAGTATCTTGCGTAGACAATTGTTCTTAAATACTTGCACATTTTGATGACGATTTTGCTAGTTCTCCAAGTTCCAGCTCTGTACAGTATAACTGTTTTGATGTTCGTATTGAAGATTCTAACTTCGATGTTGGTTAATGGTTGTTCTGAGTTCTATATGTTCCTCAAATGTGGGAATGACATCCTTGCTTTGCCAATTGTTGCCCTTGTACATGTTGAGGCTGACTGGTGTCATTTACTCTAAGATTTTCGCAAACCGTAGTTTTAAAATCATGTGTGAGTTTCTGGAAATCAGCTTGAAGCATTTCTTGAAATGAAATTCCTATTATCCAATTTTTGATCAATGAAATTTTTAGCCATAAACATTTCAGATAAAATTACACCAAACTCAAATGACTACTTTTGACAATAAAGTAGTGTGATTTTATATTTAAAAATAACACATCTGTGTGGTTAGCCACATAATTGCCTCAAATATCAAATAGATTTGAAAGTGAAATTACGAAACAAATAATACACAGATCAAAAATTTTTTGCCATTGAAAGAAAGCCAGCGGAGAATTACTGAAGATGACGAAGTCATAAAATCAATATTCTGCCTTAATTTGAGATAATTATACGACAAATCGAAAAGAAAATCGTGATTTACTGACTAAAGTTATGAAGCTTTTGAAGCCTATATCACATATGTTATTCGTTGAACACACCTAAATAAGATATAAATCTCGATTTATATAAAGATACAAATAAATTCGACGAATCACAACATACGCTGGATTTATAAATTCGTATTGGCTTTATGGCTGGCTGACATGTATTATTGCTAATAAATATTAACATCAGTAATCTTAGTTAACATTAATTTAAGGTATTTAGAACACGTACAGTGACCAGCAGAACTCAATATTTACATTTGGACCGTTGAAAAACCGATAGGAAGTTTTACCTTTACTACAGAAACCTGCTTTATTTGGAAAACAATTGTAAACGAGGAATTACTGAATAACTGTTTAGTCCCTTTATAGGACTTTCCAGCAGTGCGCGCTTGTAACCTTTTGAAAATTCAAATACAGGAAATTCGGGACTAAATGCTTTACATCCTTCCGATCGATCTGTGGTGCTTCATGGATAACTATTCCTAAGGAATCGTTTACTAGAACGAGGCGAAAAATACAATACGATTCATCCACTTGTATTTAAAAACAATGTATTTATCAACATCAAACAATAAACTAACCTGTTTAATAGGTTGACCAGCTTGATAAGGTGGAATTGATTTACTTCCATCTGATGAACACGACAGAGACTGCGCTTTATTAATCTTACCATTAGATTCTGTAAACTGACAAACACTAGAATTATATGACATGTATTCTGAAGTTAATTGTTTACACGATGAAATGTCTTCCATGGAAGAGTTTAGTTCATCCGTTAGATTAGTAGGTGAATTATCAGTCGACATTTTAACTATTGAAGAAAAAGAAGAAGTAGTGGTAGTAAGGTTTGCTTTTTCATTTATCGATGATATTTCATTATGCAACACTAGACTTGGATTTAATGATGGACTCATACTGATTGCAGACAGTGCAGATACGGACGACTCAACATTTGAACTATGACGTAGCCAACGACTTGTCATACTAGGTACATGACGTCCAGAAAGCAGATGACACATTTTATTAAGCTTTCAAAGAAATTGAAAAATGTCACAAAATAATTATTACATAGATAAATAATGGTTTCATTAAATATTTTGTTCATTGTACCTAATGGTAAGTGAAATAATATATAAAGAGATGCAATCTGTAATTATTAATGTTCGTTTGAAAAAATTACACATAGATTATGTCATTTGAATAAGACAATATGTAAGCAAAATAAACTATAATGAATAATAACTCATTTAATCACCGTATGATTTACAAAACTTTTCATTACCACTCTCTGTTGCTTGTTATATTCTTATATAATACACAGTTTAATTAAAAATAAAATAATAATTTCAGCAGAATAACATGGATTTATTTGCTTATCACATTCTCTTTTTAACTATCCACAACATATAAAGAATAGTTTGAATTTAACTGAAGTTCAGTAGAGAATGACTCAACTTGCTGACTGTATCTCTCATAAACTGATTGCTGTTCAAGTGTCTCATTAGAACCACTAGTTCAGTGTTCAATGATAAAAGTCCAACTTCAATCTATTTGCGATATAATGCAATGATCACTCAATGTCATTGGTGATGATCACTGTTCCATACTAAACTTGACTGAACGCTGTGAATCGCGATTTTACACTAGAACTTCAGAAAAATCTTGGTGTAAGTCACGGTAGTAAGATCAATCTGTGAAGAATAAGCCTACATAATGAAATGGACCTTTACTAAACATAAACTATATTATGATATTGAGCTACACAGATTAACCAGTACGATATAAAGAATTATTGAAATGAAAAAAAGAATTTAACTTGCGTAAGATGAATTTGAGAAATTCATATAGTAATACATCATAAAAGAATGACTAATAGAAGTAAGAAAGTGGAAAGTAGGGAAGAGGTAAAATTATTTGCAAAATTACAGTAAAATTCCAACACCCTTCCCCACTAAAAAAAGTAAATTCAAAAAATTTAATTGTGCAACCAAGAACACGTGACTTTTGAGTGTATTTATTACATCAATACATTAAAGCAACAATATTTTTGCAAGATGATTTGTCCGATAATACAGGTAACTTTGATGCGATAATTTAATTTACTGTGTTCTCTTCTTAGATATTTCTAACACACACACATGAACATGATCTATTACTTGACAAAGTTTTTCAAACATTCGATCTAATTTTGACTGAATTCATGTTTATATTTTGTTTAGATTTTCAAAAGTTTTATTTTATGTTAATTTTTCTTTAGGGGAATAATGATAATAAAATAATAATAATAATAATAATAATAATAATAATAATAATAATAATAATGAAGGAATAAATATAATGAAAGTTTACGTAATATATTAGAAAACATTACGAACAGAAAATAATTCTCTCTGTTGGATATCAAACCAAATCCAATCATGTTAAAGGGTTAACTACACATTACTCACACCGCTTACCTTAACCCTTGAAGGAGGAACTAAATAGCAAATACAAAATAAAAAAAACAACAATCTAAAAACGATGATTTTTTTGGAAAAAAATTATTAAAATTAAATAATAAGGAAAGAGAAATTTTGAAATATTTTAGGTCTTGTACATTTCATTTAATTTTTTTTCATTTTATGTCCGCTCACATAAAACCAGTACATATTTATGTGGTTGGATATTTTCTTGTTTGATCTTGGTTATAATAATAATAATAATAATAATAATAATAATAATAATAATAATAATAATAATAGTTATTATTATTATTGATACCATTGTTATTATTAAAAAGGTAACAAGTGTAAGACAAAAAAGGGTCAATAAAATAAATAGTTTGTTCCATTTGTGTTATTAACAATTTAGCTAGTGAATATATATAATGAATGGCATTTAGAAAAGTGACCTGTTTGTTTGAATACCGAATACATTCTATAGTCTATTGCTGCATAATAATTATTATTATTACTAGTATCAACATAATATGAAGCTGGAATTTACAAAACGAAAGCATATATATGTATATTTACATTATCAGAATAAATACAGACAGTTAATAACAACGTAAAAAATTATGTACATAAGTGTAAAGTTTATTTAAAATTTGTTAGATTAAAGCAACATTTAGAGATTGTTCAAATAATAAAGTATGTATGTGCATATATATATTCTGAATTTATAAAAACAGTAATTTCGCATACTTCAAAAGTTTGATTGAACTAACTACTGGTCTGTAAGTGTAAATAATTCGATTGAGAACACTTCAGTTATTGTTTTCAATGAAATATGGAAGTAATTTTATACAAGACTGTTAACCTAATCGATTTGCGGAAATCAGTTACATTCGAAGGCAATTAATAATATCAATTGACATAAGAACACAGGGAGTACTAGAAACAAATTTCATGGTATAAGACTACATAACAGTATGCGCAAATCATACAGGATTCAAATCAACACCTTTAGATCTCATGACGAGCATAATACACTCAAACTAGTGAGCCGAGAGTCAAAGATCATTTTCTATTTAAAATCAATTAATGAACATCAGCCGTTATAGTCGACTATACTTTCCTCATTCAGAGTGTAGTTGAACTCTATCAAGTATAATTTCCTAACAGAACCTTGAGAATCCATTTTAAAACTCATCACTGATGAGCGGACAATCATTATTACGGTGAATTTAATAGTATTGAACTTGTTTATTAGATTTGATAGCATTTATTCAACCCTGCGTGAAGTTATCAGTACATTTCACAAAGAAGTCTTACACCAGAACAGAAAAATTGTCCTGATCTCAGTGGTTTTCACTGTGGCTCCTTAGAGTATAATAATAGGTAAAATCCAAAGTTAACTTTAGCTAAGTTAACACTAAGTTTATTCGATTCCAATATTCTATTTTTATTTATTTAAAAGAAACATAAGAAATAAATTATTTAAACCAAAAAAATCCCAACTAAATCCTTTCCTAACTAATTCTCTCTCACTTGTTTATAGAATAACATGAAAAAAATAATAAATATGTTTGCTTTCAAGAAATAAATTATATCATCTATATTTGTTACAGAAAAAAAAAGGCTAAAATTTCGCAGTTAATTGATAACAAATAATTAAAACAATCAGTAGAATATGTGATAACTCCCATAAAAACAAACAAACAAACAACAAAAACAAAACACCTAGTTATGCATAAACAGATGTATAGTTACATGCATATTTATAACAGTATTGCATATATATAAATATCTTTTTTTTAAAAGAAAATCAAAACAGCTGTATAAACACACCTGGTTTGTTAAGTGTCATTTTCCAATAGAAAAACACAAGTTTTATAGAAACAAACAAACAAACAATTGAAAATATGTACTATCATGATTGAAAGAAAAAAACATAGAATATATAAACAAGAATAATTTCTTAGTGGTAGTAAAATTTAGTTTGCAGATAAAATACTACTAATAATATTACTACTATTAACATATCAATTGTATTTATTTTGATGCTCTCTTCTAGTATTTAATATTGAGATGGTGGAGAATATTTGTAGCTCAGGTGGATGATTTTGATGAAGTTTTGTTCTCTGACCTGGATGGTTTGGTCGTGGAGATTTCATCGTTCTTCTGAACGACATCATCAGCACAAACTTCAGAGTTTGCGCTGATGATGTCGTTCAGAAGAACGATGAAATCTCCACGACCAAACCATCCAGGTCAGAGAACAAAACTTCGTCAAAGTATCTAATATTATCATGTCATTCACACTATTTGTAAATATGTATATATGTAAGCAACTTTCTATTTTTAATATAAGCTCACGAATAAATATAAGTTTATCAATGAAAGTATTTGTTTGTATTTATATCATTGATATGATTTTCCTTTTCTTTTCATATTGACTATTATGATTATCATTATTTCGACATACTTGTTATTTATCTCGTAAGTTTTATCGCACCACTTTAGAGACTTGGGCTGATGCATACTTTCTGTTTCTTTTCTCATCATCTTAGAGTTTATGTTAATAATGATTGATACAAATCATGTTTCAATGATGACATTATTTATGTATTTATATAGAACATTGAATGAAGTTGGTAATATTATTATAGATATGACAGCTAAATATTAATTTAAACTATAATATTAATCCATTTATAAACTGAAATTTATTCAATAATATAGTACTATTAATTTTGACAATAGAATTATTCTACTTAATTTCAATAAACTGAAAATAGTTTAGAATTTTACAATTTTATGAAAAACTGATTATTTAATTAAGATAACATTAATGTAGAGAGATGTAAGAAATAAACTAAACAAATTGTTAGTTGATAAAAACAAATCATATTATAATAAAGATGTTTATAAGTGAATCATTCGAATAATTATGAATGAGTTTATGAATTTCATGAGATTGAAGGTGAACCTATTTTGAGCATCCAGCTCAGAGAACAAAACTCCATCAAAATCATCCACCTGAGCTACAAATCTTCTCCAGCATCTCAAGGTGAACCTATACAATAAAATCTATGATAATTAACATGACCTAATATGTACATACAGTTTTATGTTGAAATTAACAAAATTATACTTTTCGTTTGAAATAAAAGACTTTGGAATATTATGTAATACTATCTTATTAAAAAGTTTAGTTGAATGTAATCAACATCAATCGTTTACCAAATACAAATCTGTATATAAATACCATTTGAATTACACCAATAATCTTATATGAGGGTTGTTTATCAATCAATTGTTCAAACTGAAGTTTAAAACTCATGTTATCGAGTAGTTGATATTTATGCGTTTTAAGCATTTTCAACAATCGTTATTTTCTTTGAACAATCAGAAAAATAATTAATTTCAGTTGATAAGATTTTTTCCCAACCTTTTCACTATTTCAAAGTGCTTTGTACTCATATATGTGAATATAATGAAGTTAAAACATGGAATACTTGATATATATACTAATGGTTTGTTTTCTTTTGTGTTGTAATTTACACCAACATTTTTTCTAACTGAAGAGAACAGTTAATCACAATGTGAAAAGATAACAAAGTATTAATTTCATCAATTACGATGTTGTTCAAATCATATAAAAAATAAAATAGGAAGAGATAGAATTGGTGAGACTATATTTTATGGATGAACTTTGAGCGACGCTAAAGTGACCTAGAGAATGTCCACATACTTACTAGGATCAAGTGAGGTTTATAAACTATGGTGAGCAACTACAATTAAGATTTACTGTTGATGGTTAAGAGTTAAGAATTAGATTTATGGTTTTCATCACGAACTGACTTCAGCTAAAATGTCAAAAACTTTCTTTAACCAAATAGATGAATGAATTTCGTGCTAAAACCCAAGACATTTTGTTTTATATCTGATTGATTCGTCCATAAATTATAGTCTTACCGATAAATTAAATTGCATGGATTTAAAAAAAATTATTCATAATAAATTTGGCTTCTTTTTACTTTATTGTAAATTCTTTAATAAAATAAAAACAAAAATCAAATATTTGTATACTAAGATAGTTGTAAATAAATATCGTTCCACAATGGGACGAAACGACCGTCCCGTGCTTCCAGGTTTTCCATAGTGGTCTAGCTTCAACTGACTCATGATCTTAACCATTAAAATTTAATTGTAAATTTTAAGTTCTATTAAATTTGTTAGAGTGAATAATAGAATATTAAAAAATAAAAACAAGTTAGCATTATTTACCGTGAATATAATGTTATGTAAGCTATTCTTTAAAATAATTTAACATTATAAACAGTTCAGCGTATATATATATATAATGTTTTATAATTCTTCCATTAATTCTTTAAAACACTGATAAACAAACAATTTTAATGTTCAATAGATACATATTATTAGTGAATTACTTAATTTGTGATCAATTACATCATACCCCATTTTCTTCTTTTTTAAAAAAAGTGGATATAAATAGTAAATGGAAGAAAATTTATTTCTGTGTTTGTATTTCAGTATATGCTTATATTTCTAATGGTTAATGTTTTAGTCTACTTTCAATGGACGAATATCAACCTATGTATGGATAAATGCACAAATTCTAACACTTTATAACAAAAAAACCAACACATATGTATAATCATGCGAAAATGTTAATAAAAAAAACAACAATATATGAAAATATGTACATTTATACATGTCAATTTATGGACGCTTACAAATACTACTTATTTCTTTTTTTTAGTTTAATAATTGAATTGAAGAAATTCTATGACATATAAAGCCAGTTGGTTTCACAATTCATTAGAAGTTGACATAAAACATTATTTATGTCATACATATAATATCTCAATAATAATAAAGTATGTCATGATTACAATTTCTAAAAATATAAGAAAAGGAAAATTAATTAAAACTGATATGACAATTACATTAGAATTTTACACTTATTTTTGGACAAAATAAAATCATTTAAATTCTAAATATACATATGAGCTATAATTAGAATTCAGGCATTACTGCTTTTGTGGGTATTACAAAATGAGAAAATTTACTCTATAATACTAATTAAGCGTTTTTACATATATGATGCTAATGACAAGTCGAAATACTATACAAAAATAATCAAAATCGAATGTTTTAAAATAATAATTCTATAAAATAAGCAGTATGAAAATCAAGGAAAACTGTTAGATTTTATTGTTATCATGAATCTATCTAAGTTGAACAAATATTGAAAACTTGAAAGATTTGGACGGCTGTTTGATGCTAGTATCGGACTTCTCAGCAGTATATATCTATGACTTCATCATCGGAAAAAAACTGAAGACCTTTGGTCACCCAATCTTGCAAAATAATTCAAGTAAAACTTGTATACCATTGGATCATGCCTCAGGGATCTAAAGGCTCGCAAAACCAGAAGGCCGATGGGATGGTCGTGGGTGCTAGTACTTGGGCAAAACAACTGTTTAGTGCTTACAGATTTTCAATGGTTGTCTAACTTGGATCAGTTCGTGATCCCAATAAGACCTCACGAAATGTTCTACTATAATATGTATCTATCTTGGAAAATCTTCATAAAAACATATTTAACGGAAAAAGTGAAAAATTATTTCCGAATATAAAACAAATAAATTCAAACGATCAACTCAAAACCCAATCAGATATGTTTATATTAACAAAAATCGAAGTACTAACTAAAGAAAGTAAGCGATGAACAAACTATCTCAGTTACACTATACATATACTTTGTTTACTTCAATTATATTCTAATGCCTCTTTTTCAGCACATGACAGACTTAAAAACAAAAAAACGTGTAAGGGTAAATCGTTTTAAAATTTTATCAACGACATTTAACACAGTCTGTGGTGAAGAATTACTAATTGTTTTCCGGTCTTCGTTTATTCATCCAATAGTCTTTTCATATCTTAACTGTTAAGTACCTCAATATCAAAAAACATGTTTCTACACAATGACCTAAAGCCCGCAAAAATAATCATTCAGATGTCTAGCTGTTGTTCTGTATTCCGAAATTAGTTCAGTATGAATTTCCAGAGTTACTCTCATGGAGAGACTTGAATTCAGAATGTTTAAAAACTGAACAATCAGGAGAATGTGGAAATCATAGTTCATTCGCCCTTCAATTGAATAAATGGCTATTACGAATAAATTTTGCCGTCCCGTCATATTAGTTATATTACATTATGTTAAAAATTACATTTTAAATTCATGCTAATAAAGAAAAGTTTTCATTCACTATACAATTTCAAATGTAAGGCAGGGAACAAATCAAAAACCTCAGTTTCTTTATTTAATTGAAAAACTATCGATAGATATGCAGTAGTTTGCATTTACGAGTTTCAATTAATTCACGATACATAATTACAATTATCGAATATCATTGTTACATTCTGAATTCAGTTGACTACACACAGGTAATACCTTCTCATGAAAAGTGTCCGATATCTATATCAAAGAAACCAGTAAGTAGTGTATTACTATTTGGTCAGGCTTTAAGGGAGTTTTATTGAAGTTGTCGATAATCAAATCTTTTTTTAAATTCCAAAAACAGATTCACTTTTTATCCTTAAATAAATACGAAAAATACATACTCCGTATAAATCAAAAATTATAAAAAGAAAATGTTTAAATTAAATTTAAAAAATTACATGAAATATTTTCTCTAATGCGATAAATTTGTAAAATCATTTAATCAAAATGCAACTATTTTTATTGTAATAATGCATAAATAACAACAACATTATCTATTAACTTGGAAGTAATTACCTGTGATTTAATACCTGATATGATTAAATCCAAATTTGGATGAATAGATTGTTTTGAACTTGCGGAAAATGTCAAAGATAATTGTCCAGCATATGTTGTAAACGTGACACATAAATCACGACAAATATGTACAATGGTTTCATTTGAAGCAGATTTATTAATCCTATTACTTAATTCAGGTGATTGATAGTTTGCAATAAATTCTGATGGTCTATTCACTGGTGAAGGCATCCAAGTATCAATACGAATAATAGGACAACCAGCTATATACATAATTCCAGCATTAGCATTCACTAAATGACGAGCCAATGCACGGAAACTTGTTCCTAAACGAGGTGGATAAACTAATGATGTTGCTGTTGTTGTTCTTCGTGGAAGTCGTCTTCTCAATCTTTGACGTAGTATACGAGCATCCGAAGATTTGTTAGCTAATAAAGACATATATGCTAGTCGTCTTGATTTAGGCATTTGATAAGAATAATTAGAATCTGTAATTTTTGACGAATATGAAGTAGTTGTATTAGTGGCAGTTGTTGAAGTAGTAAATGGTGATATTACTTCAACACCAGTTATAGTTACACTGGCTTTCGCTGGTCCACCATATGTTGTTTCAATCCATTTTGCCACAGAATGTGGCATTAAAGTATACAATGCTGTACGCGCCCATGCTAAACATAAGGAATCAACTGATGTATTCACTTCTGTTAGACGTTGTTTAGTCTCCCATAATCTAGGTAACATACCTTCTGTATTAATTGGTAAACAAAGTTCAGTTAATACATTTCTACCTGGGCATAAATTTCGTGTTGAATTTGTTGTGGTTATGGAGGTGGTCGTTGGTGAACCTAAAGGTACCATTCGATTTGTATTTCCTAGTAAACCAGTTTCCACTGCATTATTATCATGATGTATTCGTTGTTGTTGACGACACGGAGAAATATTCTGAAAATCAAGATTATTACTTGTTCTAACCCTTTGAGTTATATTTAAAACACGTGATAAAGTTGTACATGGTGGATCTTCGTTGTTGTTACAATTGGAAACAGATACTGATGAAGTACTCAAATGACAATTTGGTAAAACAGGTACTTCAGTTGATAAAAATGCTAACAAATCAGGAGGGTGTTTAAATCCCATTGTCTTGAAAAAATATATAAAAATTGCACAATTTAATAATTATAATTTATAAAAAGTAATAAATCATTTCAACAAATAGCCTTCTAGACTTTTTTCAACATATAAAGAATCAACATAGACGAATTCCCATATTACAGAAAAAACAAAATTCTGTTGATATTTGAGTTAATCAAAAGTTCTTCAGATAAATTTGAAACAGCTGATAAAATATTGTTAATTGGTTGTTATTTTATTGAGTTAATCAATTAGAGGATTGTGGTAAATCTTATTCTGAGCATGATCAATCGATGATTAAGGCTTAACTTAACTAGTTAAAGGCTCGTCAGTAAACATCGATCAGCCTATTGGATAATTTATATTTACCCAAAAAAACATTGATACTGATACTGTAATTTCGACTTCGGAAGTTTGAGAAAGGGTGAAACAGTAAAATCGCAGCTACCTAATGGTGTAATACAGTCATCATTACTTGTTAAACCTTTGGTTGTCTTAACTAAGAAAATTATTTGCATTTCATTAAAATGTGACTGAATATAAAGAGTAATTATTGAAAAGGATGCATGAATAAGACTAACTAAAATATTTTATCTAAAAATGACAATTATTTGGGACTTAAATATCATTCTACAAAAAAGAGAATATAACTAAAGCATGCAAGTTTCAGAATATCGCAACAGTGCATCAAGAATTTTGTGCAATAATTACTTGTGTTTGATGGAATGCATTTGAAATTAATGTAAACTTCTCAATACAGTGTCGGCTTTCAGTTAACAGATAATGAATAGTGACAGGACAAGAGTTATTAGCGTGTCAAACTTATTTACCATTCCAGGTTTTCAATGGTGGTCTAACATCAATTAGTTCATGATCTCAATTAAGAACTTAATGATCTACACAACCCGATACCGTTAGTCATTTACCATAGTCAAACAGGTTTATTAAGATTAAAATCCAAAACCCTCTTCTTTACCAACACAAAATATAATAACTTAACAGATCTAATGATTATTTTTTCTAAGCAAGTTTAGTATATCTGAGTACCAACAAAACCTCTGAATAGATAGAAGAAAACAAGTTAAGATACATGCGCTAACCTCAGAGAAGATACTTGTATTGGATCGACCAATATGTTATTTATTTACTCTGAACGAGTGACTTACATTAAAATACGAAACGTCAGAAATACAATTACTCTACTCGTTGGGATAAAACAAAGATTTATTTAATATGACTTAGAATACGCAGATGACATAGTCCTGTTTGGTGAAGACGCTGATGAAATGCAGTCTTTTGGTAGCACTGAGCAACAATGCCAGAATGTTTGGGATGCGCTTCTCTCCCTCTAAATGCAAGTTGTTGCTTCTGGACTGGTCTGCGTCAACACCTGAACTAAGGATAGGGAGTGAAGTAGTCGAACGCGTTGACAACGTCACTTATCTCGGAAGTCTGGTCAGCCCTAATGGGTTGGTGTCTGACGAAATCTCTGCACGGATTCGAAAAGCTCGTTTGGCCTTTGCCAACTTACGTCATCTATGGCGAAGGCGAGATATCCGTCTATCAATTAAGGGTCGAGTATACTGCGCGGCAGTCCGTTCCGTTCTACTATACGGCTGCGAAACATGGCCTTTAAGAGTAGAAGATACTCGTAAGTTACTAGTATTTGATCACAGGTGCCTTAGAAATATTGCTCACATCTGCTGGGATCACCGGGTAAGTAATGGTGAGGTTAGACGCAGGGCATTAGGGAATGATGGTAAATCAGTTGATGAGGTTATGAATCTTCATCGACTGAGATGGTTGGGCCACGTACTGCGTATGCCTGAACACCGATTACCACGGCGCGCAACGCTAACCGGTGTTAGGGATAATTGGAGAAAAAGTTAGGGGCGGCCAAACCAAAACGTGGCATCAGTGCTTGAAATCACCTACTTCTGGTCTGAGCCATGTTGGTAGATGCAGACTGCCTGGTTGGGGTCCGCGTGACTATCGTAACCAATGGTTGGAGACTCTTGGTGACATGGCTCAGAATCGATCACAATGGCGTAGGTGTATACACTCTCTGTTTTCCTTAAATTAAGAGATTAAAATCGCTTCATATCTTTCTTTCTAGGAACTAATTCTTTCTTCCTGTACTATCTCCTTATATGCAATCTTTCTTTTATATATTACCACCACTGAATTAACTACTTCTATGAATTCGGTGTTGATCGTGTTGTGCTAATGCGGTATGGCAACTTGGACCGATGCATATACGTGCCTGGTCCTACGTTGCAGCTGACTGACTGACTATATTTTATTTTAACAATGTATCAAGCGGAACAATTAGGTCGATAAATGAAAAATCAAAAAATATGTTTGAACTAGAATAGGTTAATGACATTCTATGACTAAATACAACAACAAGTGGTCCGTAGACATTAAAATTAATGTTTTCAGTTGACTTGACTAAAATCAAATTAAAATATACTCAATAATATGTCAATTAAGAAGAGATCTTAATTTATTCATGGAGTCACCTTAGACTAAACGTACTTGTTTAAGTAGTTACAGAAAATTATATATATATATATATATATATATATATATATATATATATATATATATATATATATATGTCTGAAATATACAATTCATACAGTGGAAGCTGATATTGTGTTCTGGATTCAAACGGACAGTGCTAGGCAAGAAGAACCAATAAGGACTCAGAGTTGACTCAAGGCTGCTTGTACTAATTAACGCATCATTGGTTTGGCACAGGACCAAGGTCATGTAAGTCGGTGTTCTGATTGAGGATCTTGTCACGTGATATTTCGACAGGGCTAGGGACATAGCAATTATAATTAAAAGTAAAGACTCACAAATGACGAAAATTTGATAAAATAAATAATATAATCATCTTACCTGATGATAACCACGTAATGCTCCAGCTAATAAACTTAAAATTAATTCTGAATAAGAAGCTTTAGTAATTTGACGTAGACGGCTTAATTTTGCTAATGATAATAAGGCACATTTGTGAACAGTTTTGATATCTTCGTTACGATTATTATTATTAATTTGATTATTTTTATTATTTATTAATTTAGATTGCTTAACATTTTGATGTTTTGTAATTAAACCCATATCAGCATTAGTAATAAAATATTTATGAAAAATGATAGTTGGTCCAGTAATCAATACTCTTAATATATCAAAAATAGTAGCTATTGTAGCCAATGAACTTGCCCAAAATGTATACCACCATTGTGCAGCTTCTGATTCCTCTGAATCTTCATCGTCTAACAATGAATTCGCGGTAGATGTGCTAGTCGTTGTTGTTGTTGTGATAGAAGAATTTGATAATACACTATTAGATAATCGTTCATTCTGATTAGGTTTTAATTGTATTTGATTTGAATTGAATTTTGTAAATGAATTAAGTTGATATTTATTGTTATTTGATATATTTAAACTATTTAATTGAGACTGTTGTTCATTTATTAGTGTGGTTTTAGATAAACCACATGAATGATAAAATGTTGAGTTATATGATGAAGTAGAATTACGAGATGATTTCATTGTAGTAGACCATTTGGACGTATTTTTATTGGATAGAGATGCATCTAACCAATTATTTTTCAAAAAAATGAAAACAAAAGTAAAATAATGTAATTAGAAAATGTATTTCATTGTTAATATTACATATTTCTTACTTTAGCTTTAATAATGTATGACAGATCAAACGAATGATCACTGCTGTATACACATATGATTAATATAAATGTAGTAAGTAATCCTAACCTCGTTGATTATGTGCTTTGAATAATGAATACTTTGGTTAAATCAGAATGAGCCACAAATCGGACTAACTAAATGAATATATCAGTAACAACGACGTAACTGACTTTCTTCTTGAGATTAAAATCAATGTCATTAATATTAGAGTCAAAAATGTTGCCATTAATCCGTTAAAGCCTCAATCAACTTTTGGTAGAACTGAAGTGTTTAAAATTATTGACCACTAAGTAGTAACTAGTTCTTATTGCTGACCAAACCTTTATCAGTCAATTATACTTATAGTTATATCATAATTTATAAAGCTCGATCAGAACTTAAAACAAATATGAATTTCGCAGTTAAATACACAGGATAGATCGTTCATTTAATTACTTCCTATGGTATATTACTGACCTTAGTAATCATTTATTTTAATAATATGACTTTTTTTGGTTCCGATGAGTTCTCTTAGCTGGATAAATATTATTATGGTTTTGTCGTTATAGAAGACACCAACAACTTCTACTTATTGTGGTTTTGTTCACACAAGAACACGGAAGATAATGAAACCTGTGAAGATAGACATCCTTCAACAAAGTCGGAAGAACTAACTGACCTAGTGTATGTAGGATAATAAGGACGCTAAATTCTCAGTGAAGTAGGTATTGTGTTGCTTAGAATGACAATAAAAGCTTATAGAACGCAATACTATCAAAGGTATTAACCTGCATAACATATGTTTCCATTATTTTGACGCTAAGTGCATCGGTAATTTAATGATTTTTTCAGAACAGAATTTGTAACAGACAGAAATGAACTAGTAATATGAACTGTATACATATTTTAAGTATTAACTGAGTTTTACTTAGTACTAAAAGGTTATAATCTATTGGGAAAAGAGGGAGCTATTAGTAATTCAAGAAATTCTATCCATTTATTTACAGAAGTAACTAAACCAAAAGAAATTATGCTACCAAGATAATTATATTTTTAGATAAAAGAATAAACTATAAGTTGAACTCTCATTTTTCTTCAAACAAGTAAACAACAATGTAAATTACAGGTAGAAATAAAATAACCATATAAAATTCATAGGCAATTATTTTCAAAAATTGCTTTTTAATTGTTTTTCATTAAAATTATCACCTTATAACAGTACAAAGAAATTCATGAAAATACAAAGAAATTTCGGGTTTAATTGACTCGTTTATAGTTTTTATCATTCAATTATAAACAACATTAAAGTTAATACATATATAATCACCAGTTTAATTTGCCGGATTGTATCAACACAAAAAGATGGAGTTATCAAGACAAATGCCAGAATAGTGAAATTACTAACCACATCAGCGGTAGGAGAAAATACTACTCATAGACAATATGATTCGAGAAAAAATTTGTGAAACATTGGAAAATAATGTAACTTTAAAATTCACGACCTAAAAAAAAGCCAAAGTGTGGATAGAACTGTGCCATTTTTATTGATTCTCAGACATATTAACGATAGTCTACAATTATTGTCCACGACGATTATATAGACCCTAACTGTAAATACCCGTCTAAATTGACCGATTCAATATTTAATGGCCTCAACGCATGATGCCACATGATGGATTATCCGTATTTAGCTTTCTTCTAACCCACTTCTACACCAACAAACACTATGCATCGAGGTACATAATGGTTGTGCACATGTAATACATATCATAAGCATCTCAAATGATCAATGTTCACGACCTTATTTGTTCTATATGTCATAAGTGTTGTCGGTGAATAAAAGAAGACATTAGCAAATCGATTATAAATGGAAATGTTACTAGAATATAAAATAACTGATCACTAAGTAAATAGTTTAATAATCGTTAAATCTAAACTTTAAAATTGAATTTAATGAGATCAAATTAATTCCATGTGAACTGTCTTGAAACGTATGAGCGAGAAAATGCTGATAAAAATATAAGTCTTAAATAAACTGATTAACAAGTTCAATCAGATACTACAGAGATATCATAGCAATAATATGATACACTTTAAAAATTAGAAAATTCATTCTCACATAGATGATAACTCATTTTATAGTTTGGTGACAGTCACACTTGCATTAAAAAATTTTAGAATACCAATTTTAGTCGTACCCCACAAGCTACTTTATATTTAATTAACTGCTTAGTTTTTCTCATTTAATTTTATAGATATTTTGTTTAATATGCAAACAAATAAATATGTATCTTCTATTAAGATATAATTCGAACATAATACATATTAATTTCAATGGTTGAGATCATGAGTCAGTTGAAGCTAGACCACCAAGGAAATCCTGGAAGCACTGGACGGCCGTTTCATCCTATTGTGGGACTCCTCAACAGTGCGCAGCTACGATCTCGAATTGCGAGATTCGAACATATCAAATGAAATTTAACTGTTAATCAACGTTCAACAGTATTGCAACTGTTAAAATATTTAGTTACATTTCGCCTAAAAATATCCTAAACATTTTAATTAGTACAAAACATTAGTTGAATAACAAGCTTCTGAAGAAGAACAATTCAATAAACAAACTAGTTTCGACACTTAAAATTCTGAAAAACCAAATTCAAATGAAAGAGTATAACCGAATAAAAAAATTGAACACCTAAATTTAATATACTACATGTAAATCCAACACCTCTATAGGCAAAAACTTACATCAATAACTAAAACAAGCGCCCAAAAAATAAAGAAAAATTAATTCAATAAAGATGATTATATATATATATATATATATATATATATATATATATATATATATATATATATATATAAAGGGAAAGTATTTTTTTTCCTCCAGAAAGATGTGACCATATGTAGTGTTAGAAATAATAACATGTCCATTATTAACATGATTATTTCATAATGATAAATTATTTGAAATGAAATTTCAGCGTACATAATCAGTTCAACTTTCAAGTGTTTAAATAGATAATATACAACGAATTATAAAGAAGTCAATAGAATATATGAAACATCAGAATGAATCGCTACAAAAAAAGAATATATATGGTGTGAATTAAAATAGTAAAACAAATTGAAGATAAAATGTGAAAATTTACATCAATGTCAATTTTGCTTTAAACACTATGATTGTAATGTGTATACATGTCAAATTGTTATTTTACACATACTAAAAAAAGGTTCCACAGCATTAACATTCGTATACCTAATAAAGGTTGTTTCTGTTTACATATAATTTTCTCAAGTTTCATCAGTGTAATATATTTCTTGTTAGTATACTTTTTATTTCGACTAAATGAACGCTGAATAAAGTGTACTATTGAATAGAAAAATTTAGACACTTGAAATATTCCTCTGTAAAAGTCTATTACACATAAATGTATTATTTAAATGTTGGTTATTTTTCTGATTTCAGTATATAAAAGAATGGTATTAGATATAATCTTGAAAAGCAAAGAAAATGTGGACTGTTAACTTGCTTTAGATTTAAAGTGCTCAAATGTCCTTGCACTTAGATGTAAGCTAGTCAAGCATTAGATCAACCAAATGTAGATTTAACAAAAAGCTCATCGAGAACACTCAGTAGTGAAACAACTACATCATAAAATGATTTAAGCTGAGCGTGTGGATCACTCTAATTTGACTTAATGACTGGTTAAATTACGTGTGAAATTTTTGAAAGTCAAATAAATAACAGTGAAATATCAAACTCATAGAAATGCATATTACTTAACCTGTTAAATCATGCAATAACTACCAGCTTACAGCGACATTTACAGATTCATATGATTATTTTTTAGAATAATAAACACTTAATTTTTGCTCAATCAGTACTAACTTCAGATATTTTATTTCTTTAATCACACTTAATAAAATGCAGTAACCATTTATGCATGCACTGGAGACTGTAACTATTCACATTGTCATTTGCTATTTATTGAAGAAGTTATACATATGTTTATTTTATTTATAATTGACAGAAAAAACATCAAATTGTGATTAACTTTCAAAATCGTATAAAAACGACAAAAAGCTATCTTATTATGATTGTCAAACAAGCACAATGGTGTTAAAGAGCATTTTTTCCATGTATACATGAAGGAATAAATGTTACTGCTTTCATCAAAAAAACAAATCATAGCATTTAAAATTTCTCTCATATATATTTTTTTGATTTTTGTCTTGATACATCATCAAGTGTTTTAAAATTTTTTTCTGCTTTTACGCCATTTATCGGTCTTTCTTTTACAATGCTTTTTACTATATTATTTGCATTTCAATAGAAACAAGATGACACATGGATGTGATTATTACTTTATTATCACGCACATACGCACACGCAAAGATATCTAACGTTAATAAAGCAGCCGATAATGAAGAAGGCTGATATGATGATGATGACGACAGCGATGATAACAACAGTAATAACTGAACACAAATTATACAATTAAACAAATGTAAATTCAAAATATACATACAAGTGGATATATATATGCTCTATATCAACTAAAAGATCACCTGTTATTTGTCTGTTTGTAAGTCAATTTTTCTGTTAAAAATTTTAGGTCAACGAAAGTAGTTTCTCTATTTTTGAAAAAAGACGAAGAGGAGTAAGAGAAAGAGGTAAGAGAGAATAAACTAACACATAGCCTTTAGATAAATTTTACTATATCTTAGTCTAGTGTATTCTGTTTAATTAATTATTTCTGAAGGAATAATAAAGTAATTAAAAACAAACGATTATATTTTTAAGAGGAATTTCTACTTTGCATACTCGTTGTTTGAAATTAATGATAAATGCAAGCTGAGATACTTTTAATAAGCAATAAAAATTCATAACATTTATGCAAAATAT